TGGATTTACTCAAGATTTTGATTTCGAAGAAAAGATCTCAGAAATTTAATATTTAAGAAAATCTTTAACAAATTTAAATTAGTTTAAAAATCGTTCCTGAATACAATAAAATAGTTGTTGAACAAACTTATCAAAAACATAGAATTAAGCTATCTCAAACGATGTTTTATAGCTTAGAGCAAACTTTAAAATTATTAGAATCGATATTAAACTTTACAAATGAAAGATTTTAGATAAAAACTCAACACAACATCGCTAATCCTGTCAAATAAATTCAACTAAAGTCTCTCAGTGACTTCTTAAAAAACTTAAAATCCCAAGAACATTTTACATAATGACTATTTCACCTTGATCGAGGCATTGACAGTTGTAATGAAAGATTTCTGTTTGTCTACTAATGACCAAATTATAATCTACAATTTACACAATCTGATGAGAGAAATGATATGAATCTTAATGTGACGAGATTTTCGAGTCTTTTGTGGTCATTCGTGAATAATGTCTATGTAGATATCTCCCTATAAATGCTGCATATGTGAAATAAGTCGGGCTCTATAGGAATCGAACTCACGATCTCAAAAGAGGCGATTTTTGAACACTCGATCAGAAATCCTTGCCCCTCGTCCATCGAGGTACTTATCTCAATTCAGCTTTTCGTCATACACATCCAACCAGTTTCATAGTGAACCCTATGCTCAGGCCTATCTACTCTGAATATGCTCATGGAGATATATCCACAGTCAATTGAAACTTCTGCCTGAAAATATTCATATAGATTGAATGCTTAATAAGTAACAGATCAAGATAAAGGTCGTCGCTATCGCTAATGAAATGAAAAATAAACAGGAACAATTCAAATAAAAACGATCAGATTAGTAGTCATTAAAAATTCTCTACGAAACCCCTGATTTTGTGTGACAACAACGGCCACAAAAAAATGGACTTGATTATCATACATTAGATCGACTGTACGCATTGACAAAAAATTCCTTCAAAACTCGCAAAGCTTACAGACTTTATAATGAACGTCGCTTATCTATTAAGGCTTACATATTTTGAATTCTAATGGAATGCCCACCACTCCTTTCACAGCACTTTGTCAGTTATAAATCTTAATTTATAGAAATGATAATGGAAGAATAATAAAATGATGAACCGTGAAAATTTAACATGATCATCGTCCTACTATCACTGTAATCCCATTAAAGACAAATTTTTTTTGATTGTTTTCTCCAATCTCTTCTCTCTCGCTCTCTCACTCACTCAGTTTTATAATTCAAATGATCGATAGACACTCAAATCAGTGTAGAAAAATATTCGAATGTTGAATGGATGAAGAAATATGAAAGAAAAAAAAATATGTTAAATGCCATATTAATTAATTGAGAATCAGAGGTCTTTGAAGACATGGAGCGCATTTTATGATAAAATATCTTTTTTGATTGCAGTCTTTATGATATGAACATACACTCATAGTAATAGATGCTTTTCATAACGTTTAATAGTCGATTAGAAGTTCAAAAATAAATATTAAAAATGTGTTAAAATTTCACGCCAAAACTTAATAACCGTGAGCATTTTGTTCAATATAAAATCAGCAATTAACTTGTAAATCATTAACAAAATATAAAAATAGAAATATTCAAGCTTGTAGGCATGACACTAACTTAATTAGAGCAATAAATGAGTAATTCAAGGTCTGTTCGAGAATCAGGCACTTATTAGCTCCTTCATAGGCGTACTTAACAATTATGGAACCCAATTAGTAGTCAAATCTTAGAATTATGGTTTAAAGACATAAGCAAATTGATGAGAACTTCCTAATTTCGTGTATGCCAATTGTACAATTATTATTAAATAAATCTAAATTGCTCACAAAATGTATTACTTAAATCTGATCATATATAATTTTCACGAACTAAAAGTTGATTCATCGTTAAAGAGCCTTTTCTGAGGAACAAAGTTGGTCCAATAGAACCAAAAAAGAACCCCAACCAGACAATTTACACTCAAAACTCATCGAAATTCCAATTGACACACTTCACAAACCTCTTGCCTCCATGACACACTAACGGATGACCAAAGTGTAAACATCCTAGTGGATAACTCTGCTAAAAATCGACGTGATGGAATTAAAATATCGGAAGAGGCATAAAAAGAAGAAAAAAAACAGCAATTTTAAATCAAAAAGCACTTGTTTTTTCATATTACAATGGAATAAAAAACTGATAATTCATCATGATGCGGTTCCACTTTTAAGTATTCGTAGTGAGAGAAAAATTATTTTCAAATTGTCATTTTAATCGCGTTAAATGACCCATAATGGATCAAAAAAATGAAATTTCTGATGACTGTAGTGAAATAATTACTTCGTCAAAAAAAATACCATTTGACCAATATTGATAAAATTATTTCAGTCACTCACTATATCGTGAGCAGTTAACGAATGAATGTTGTTGGAGAAAAAAAAGACTCACTTACAAATGACATATGAATAAACAAAAGAGGTTTGTTCCTGCTATGGAAATCGTTTTATGAATTTCAATTTTCGTTAATTTTGATGTCAAATTACGACCACATTTGGAATATTATTCAGATGTTTTCATTTTATGAACGTTTTTTTTCTGGTTTTGTGGGTTATACGTGCTGCCGCCGTTGATATTGGCTGGCTGTTGTTGTTGTTGCAGCAGTTTATCGTTGTCCCAAAAATGGCACATCTGATTTTCGTTAAATAGTTGTTGAAAAGGCCTTTTCTTGCTAAATGAAATGAAGATTATCAAGTTTGAGGGTCACTGATAAGAGGTGCATGTAGCGCATTCTAGGAATTTGTGTAGCTTTATCATGAAATATAGGCAGCAGTGTGCGTTGTTGGGCTTTATCATAGTAATGTTAAACCTTACATAAGTTCAGATACAAAACATAGCTAGGATTTTTGACTAAGAACCTACTTCCTGACTAAATCTCTGATGTGTCAGCATAAGTAAATCAAACAGTCATTGTTGCCACTTTTTTCGGTGATGCCTCATTTTCATTACCATCGAGACAAGTCATTGAGAAAATAATAAAAATAAAAAACATTCGGAAGAGAGACGTGAGGATTGTCAAAGATGTTTCTCCTCTCTTTTATGATCATTATTGACATTTCGAACTCTGACTTGCATGCTAAATAATCAAATGATTACAATAGATAGTGAAAACATTTTCTCATTCAATAGAATGACTCCATATCTGAGCTATTCAACCTTTACATAGCTCATGCATATCTATATTAAATTAAATAAAAATTATTTGTTAAGCACAAGTAAAAGAAAGAAATGGAAAGGAGAATTTCACATTTTTAGTTTCGTTGAAGAGAGCGAAACTTCTACTTTAAATGCATTCGATGTTTATATACTTTTTTTTGGGGTTAATTTGATTAAGTCGTTCAATAAGGCATTACGAATTAGAAAATAATAGGCAATTGAAATAAGAATTTCTACACACAAAACTATAATTTCTTTCATTACATTCAGTTGAGAGAACTGTGTACTCTATGTTAATGCATGCACAATATGAAGTAGTAAATAAAGCAATCGTCTATAGATTATTTTGTTTGGGGCTTCCAGAGGATCGGGTTTTTACTGTGGAAGCTGAATCCAAGGGGTTTGTGTTTTTCGAAGAAATATCATCTCCAAACTAGGATAGTAAGCTTTTATTTATGCTCTATAGATTGCATAGCTTTATCCCTGGAAGAAGTTTTTAGTCAAATGAACGGAAACAACGACTGGAAAGTACATATTTTAAAAACTATTACCTCAAATTGTAGATTTGATCAAATCTTCTATTTGTTCATCATTGAGACAACTCAAGAAGCTCTCAAACAAGCATTTCTATGTCAAAATTCATTAAATTCAGTTATTCAAATCCAATTTCGATGCTCAATTTACCAAATTGATCGACACACTTAAAACTTCTTCCACAATTTTTTGATATGAAAAGTTGTTCCATCACATGACGTCAAAAAAAAAATCATCTCAAATTCCAAGCATATCCAAATCCCTACATGAATCAGAAAGAAAGTACATGAATGTAAAATAAAAAAATTTCGCAGATTTCTGTTAAGCATAATGCTAAGTATATCTAATCAGATTAAGTTGCATATTGATGTGGTGTAACAATTTATTTATTTTTCATAACATAATTTTTATTACTGTTTATATATATATTATTTTGAGAACATGCATGCATACCAGAGAGCAGAGAGCGTTGCGAAAAGTAGAAGAAATAAAAACAAAAACAAAAAAAAATAGTTTCTATTTCATTTTCTAATGCTACATGGCTGTAATAAGCTGAGCATTGCACATTACACACAATTTACTATGGAAAATTGCATATATGTAGCTGGAAATTACTATAATCACGAATGAGAAACACAAGATGAAGCTTATTAAGTATAAAAATTGTAATAATTAGAAGGAAAATTGGAAATTGGGAAAGAGAGTATGTTGTAAAGTGAATAGAGGAGAAACAACAAACAGACAAACGAGATTTGCATGTTTGACTTCTATAAGTATGTTAAATGGCCCATGACGAGTGATTTTAGACTTTCTAGTAATTCTGTAATCAACCAGAGATCTGCGTTATCCCACTTCTTCTTTTTCTTCCTCCTCTCTCTATGTTTTTACGACCCATACTAATACTAGAGCTACTGTTGATGCTGCTGCTGCTGTTTATACTAATTTTCTTCAATTAATTAGCATCTATATATAATTTTTCTTCTTCTCTAAATCGCTGCTCAGGCCTTTTTATTATTATTATTATCGTCATTGATATACATACATATATATTCATAAGCATCTCATTTTAATGTTCATTCGGGATGCGCGATGCATTTATAATGTGAAATGAGAACGCATTATGAATAAATTATAATGCACATATAAATATTTTCTTTTTAAAAAAATTAATTAATTAATTTCATAGGTTTTACATTTTCTCTTTTCTCTTATGTCTCATTACAGGCTTCAAGGAAGGTTTCAAAATGTGGTTACTTATTTGTAGCACCACAAGATTGGGATTGGAATAATCCGCTGTATAGAACAAAGGTAAGTAAATCACGTAATCGGAAATATGGTTCTCAGGGTTGGGATTTCAGTTTTTGGAGATTTAACTGAATTTGAAAAATTTTGGTGCAATTTAGATCGACAAAACTTAGAACTTTAGCTCAAAACAACCGCTTTGAAGTTTGTCTTAATTATTTTGGCGCCAAATTTGATATTTAAAGAGGTTAACTTCCTTAGCACATGAATTGAGCATCTGACGAAATTGAAACCCCTAGCATCTCTCTAAATACACTCGAGATCTCTGTCTAAAACTGTAAAAGCGCCAAGAATTTCCAATCACGACACAAATGTCAACTAATTAATATCCAACATCTATAAAATTAATAGAAACAAGAGCGGAAATTAAATAAAGATGGTAAAAGCTCAGATTGTATATATTTCTATTTTTATCAGCCTTCTTACTTTCATTTAAGAATTAATAACACTTCCCATAAATCGAAACACTTTCATTATCAGTTCCTGTGCAGCAAGACTAGCGTCGTCAATCTTTATAGCATAATCACAACTCTGTATAAAGGTACCTATTTTTAAAAATGGAGATATAGATGCACAGATAGACTGACTTTGTTTTGAATGGTTGTGAATAGTGGATTTTGTTTTTATTAATAAAATATGTATAAACCTTTATGTGATATAAGCTGCTTATCATTAAATTCCTATATTTTCATTCACGAGGCGCTTAGAAAAAAAAAATTAAAAAGAAATGAAAGAAAAACACAACAAGACACAAAAAAATGAGAGTTAACGGAGTGTGTAAAGGCTTACATAAAACATAAAAACTGCACCGTCAACTTCGATCGATAAGGCTGGATCAAATGGTGGTGCAGAGAAATTACAAAACAATTACTCAGCAAGACTCTTTAACTCTTTTTTCTCTACGATACTTATTTTTTTTTGAAGCTATATAAAGGTACAGAAAAGAAACAAAGAGCGTTACGCTGCAAATATTACTTCTCTTTTATGATTATCTCAAATCTCATGTGCAAGTCATGAGAAGCTGTAAAGAAATGAATATAAGTTAAGCCGAAATATGTTTTCGCGCCCCGTCAAATGTTTATAGTTAAAAAAAATGTACTTAAGTATATCTTTTTCATATTGTTTAAAGACTATAGAGATGGGCTTTCTGATTAATAGGATATTTGCGGTTAGTTTTTTCGGATAATTTGGTGCTTATTAGAGAAATTATATTGCAATTTGTCAGAAAGAAATTCGAAAGCTATGACGGTTGTGTAATTTTAGGAAACCACGATGACTTTTGAACGTGAAAATTGATTATTGTTGATGAAAAATTAAATTGCGGAACCAGAATGTGAATTCGGAAATAGACAGTCAGAAATTAGTTTTTTTTTGCGCTAGCATCAGAGCCGTTGCATGAGATTTAGGGTCAACTTCCTTTCCATATCTTACTAGACCAAGTCTAGTTACGTTTCTGACTACCATACGTGTTTAAAGATAAAGAAAAACATGTTTTTTCAATGTACAACTAGAAGTAACAAAACAAACTGATCGCAAACCTGATAAATTTGTAATTTTCTCAAAAAATTAATTTATTCTTCAACTATTTTTTGTAATTTTATGGGCAGAGTAGAATGTTATCTAGAAAGGAAAACGCCAATCAATCAGAAATGTCTTGCATTATCTATACTTCAGCAACAGGTAGTGTACATGCTCCTCTAGATGTTTTAGCTTCTAATTTTGATCGATTCATTAAATAATGATTAGATTAGAGCTAGCAAATTAAAGTAAATTTTGTGATACTTGCGTGCTTTGTTGATAAACACAAAAGATTTAAGCATGAATAGTTTTGAGCTTGAAAACTATTAATCAATCATGTGATAACAGTTGGAATTTAGGGTAATTGATATTCGTGGTAAATGTTTCTAAATTTATTTGAAGTTTGTCAGCATTATTTAGCAATGAGTTAAACCAAGGTCAAAGAATGGAGGATCTAAGTTTGTAGATTCGTTAACAGGGAACTACAGGAATGCAAAGCAAAGCAAATCAAATGAAATATAATGGCATAATAATTTCAAAATTTGATGAATTATAAGCTCCAAGTGTGTCTATAGAAATATTCAAAAAATATCTGACCCAGATTATCCTACAGCCACACTACTTGATTCCTTAACAGTCCGAATTTTTCTCATTTTATTGCGTCACTTTTGTCACATCACTTCAATCTCATATAAGCATCTAGTGATTTTACTGCACCCTAGCGTTAGAGTGCATACGGAAGCTCATTCCACACATGCAGCCAAACCCAGACATTACATTATCGACAACATCGATTTTCAATAAAAAAAAAACTTAATTTCATTTAATTTATGATCAGAACAAATTTTAAAGAATTTTTATGGTCGAAAGAAATGAAAGCTTTTTACCATAAGAAAGGGGGGCATGTGACTATAAAAATTCAAATTCAATCGTTAAATTACATCAGTAAATAAGAGGATTAAAACATAAAAATATTCATGTGTAGAATGGGTGATCAAATAAAGCGAGGAGAAGCAATAAAAAAAAGTTTCAAATTCCAACAATGCCCATCTCCATATGAATGAAAAATAGATTGGAAATATTCATGAACTAGAATGTTATAAGAGCATGAAAACTAAAGCCTATAAGAATAAGAAGAAAGGCGACAAATGAACAAATGCAATGAAAGTGTGTAGCGGTTTAATATATATCGATATCAAATAATGTTATAGGAAAAAATCATCACCCAATGTAAAAAAATATTTGTAGCATGCAGTGAGCATAAGAGAAATAAAGAAAGATAGAGAAAATAAATATAATAACAACAACAGCAAAATACATTCTTCTTAATTTATTTCATTTCTTCACAAATCTCTGCATGGGGTTATTTATAAATGACGTACATCAAACATTGAGATAAGAAGGCCCTTCCGGTAGAAAAATACTATTTTTAGAGTGTCACAATAATCTTAGACGTAAGAAGTGAATGACTCCAATGTCTATAATATTGTTTTGCTGCTGCTGCTGCTGATCATGTTGTTGATGCAGTTGTGTGAGTTTGCGTAAACGAGTATCTATAAATGGTTTTATATCGTGAAAGTCTCTTCTCAATCATTATGAATTAAGGAAAGAGAAACAAAACCGTATCATAATAACATATGAAATAGACATTAAAAAAAAGTAGTGATATACAGAAATGAAGTAACATATTAAAGCATAAACTGTGACTGTATTAGTCTCATAGGTAACAGCAAATTAAATTTATGCTACTTTTTTTACTCTATTCATTTATGCTTGAATGAAAGCCCTTTATGGCACTTCATTTAGCTTTTTATTTTTTGATGCCGTTGAATAGCGAGTGAAATTTATATTTATCACATTTCAAAAGTGATTTTCATTTAAAAATAGGCAATAAAACTTTAAAAAGCATTCATTTCAATCATTCACAATTGCCGTAATGCGTTGTTGCAAAAAAAAGCGACTGAAAATTTATGTGCTACTTGATGGCTTGTGTCATAAAAGCATAGTCAAGTCTCTTTGAAGTCTCTTTTGCCTTTACCCGATGCCGATCATCAATTTGGTTTTAGAGAAAATTTCCTTGTCAAAGTTAAAAATGATGGTGAGAAAAAAGATGTGGGTTGGATGATTTGGGCGCATTTCTCATCGATATTACTACGTATTGAAATTTTTATAATAATTAAATCGCTTGTTGATCATTCAATCTTTCAATCCAATTAGAAATCTGTCTTCCTCTGATCTAGAAAACCAACTTCCCGAAAGAGTAATCCGTTTAATTATAGATTTAATCAGTTAATTAAAAAACTAATCATTTTGCTACAGTGGGTTATCAGCTGCTCTACTTCTAATATCTCTTTGCATTGTAGCTATTTTTATACTTAAATGTAGGAAGGAAAAGTTTAAAAAAAAAATACAAAACAAATCGAAATGTGAGGTTGATTAACATCAGGAATTTGCACGAGTAAACAGTTAATTAGTTCATATATGAGGTTTTAAACACTCAACCTTAATAGGCAGCTTACATATGTTTGATAGGAAACTAAAGTGCAGTTTTGTCAGTAAAATTAAAACTACCTTCGATTTATCGAGTCATTAAGTAAATTGGAATTTGATTAGAGAAAAACTACATTAGGGCTTTAAAATCCACACATCCAGACTCTAGTGCAGTAACAAAATTTGCTTGATTCTGCTCTTCCTTACTATTAGAAAACCTTCTTCTAGTTCTGAACTAATGAAAATATCAATCAAATGATCAAAAATTAAAAAATATCAATATCAAAAGCAAAATTCAACCAAAAACTTGTAAAACTTAAAAGCAGACAAATCCAATAAACAAATCAGTCAACCATTCTGCTAGTCGTCAACATATCTGATTTCATTCACATGGCTTTTTGTGCAAAAAAATTGCTTCAAAAATAAGATTGAAGCAAAAAAGTTTGAGTTACGACAGATGGAAAGGCATTTAGGAAACATGGGAGCAACAGCATAATATTCATGCATCATATATGTAATACTAATGCTGCTCCGCATTACTTTCAATCTCATTTTTTTCTCCTTTCTCGTACCAACATAAACTGTAAAAAATTAATTTTTTATACTATTTTGGTGATAGTGAAATTATTTCTTTTTTGTCGATGAAATAACAAGCGCGGTAAATAATGTGAGAATTTCGTGGCATTAACATGCTCCAAAAGATTACTTATACTGCTCACATCCATTGGCACATAACTAGGGTGACCATCTGCGTAGTTTTACAACGGACAGTCCTGTATTTCAAAACCCTGTCCTGTATAAATTTGAAAATTTTGTTCCAGGTCCTGTATTTTTTTCACGAAAATTTCCGTTAATTTTCAAATTTTCCTCTGTGTCCTGTATTTTTTAGGAAATTTATCAAATGTCCTGTATTTTCATAAAAATTAAATGGTCACCCTACACATAACGTAACACAAAGAAATAAAGAAGAAGAAAGAAAATCGCTCACGATGTTGCCT